AATAATAATAATAATAATAATAATAATAATAATGATAATAATAATAATAATAATAATAATAATAATAATACTATATACAAACTATTGACAGCCTGCATAAGTGAAGCTATATACAAGCATTGCGAGACTAACCACATACTTGCCGAACAACAAAAAGGATGTCGCAAAGATTCTCAAGGTTGTAAGGAGCAGCTGCTAATTGATGAAATAATCATGAAACAAGCATATAAGAAAAACCGCAATATTTATACAGGTTATATTGACTACCGAAAAGCATTTGACTCCATCCCACATAGCTGGCTGCTAGAAATTCTAAAAATATATAAAATAAGTACCACACTTATGAATTTTTTACAGAAAACTACATCTCATTGGGAAACAATACTTAAAGTAGAAGTGGGAAATACGAAGTTTACTACCCAGCCAATCCCGATAAATAGAGGTATATTCCAAGGAGACTCGTTAAGCCCCCTCTGGTTCTGTCTGGCTCTAAATCCGCTTTCAAATATGCTAAACAGTGGAAATAAGGGATACACTATAACGAAAACACAAGGAACAGCGTACAAACTATCACATCTAATGTACATGGACGATATTAAGTTATATAGTAGTACTGAACATCAACTCAAACAAATTCTTAATATCGTCGAAATATTCAGCACAGATATAGGAATGGGATTTGGGATGGAAAAATGCAAAACACAAAGAATACGAAATGGAAAAAGGGAGATTGTAGAACATAAACTGGAAAATAACGAAACAATAGAATGTATGCAAGAAGGAGATATGTATAAATACTTGGGCATAAAACAATCCCGGTTAATAGAGGAAAAAGAAACAAAAACAGATATTACCGCAAAATACGTCAAAAGGCTGGAAATGCTAACGAAAACTAAACTGTCAGGAAAACATATAATAAAAGCCATAAATACATTTGCAGTCCCAATACTCACTTACAGCTTTGGCGTTATCCATTGGACGCAAACAGACATAAACGAACTACAAAGGATAACAAACAAATCACTGACAAATGCCAGATTCCACCATCCAAAATCCGCCATCGAACGGCTTACGTTACCTCGCACGGAAGGTGGGAGAGGGTTAATTGATATCAACAACTTACTGAGTAAACAGAAAAACATTCTAAAAAAATACTTCCTTGAAAAGCAACAGACTTCAGAAATGCATCTTGCTGTTGTAACAATTGACGATAACTATTCACCGCTTAATTTAAGTAAAGACGGTGAATTTTCAATCACAAGCAACGCTGAGAAACATCAAGCTTGGCTCCAAAAAGCGCTACATGGAAAACATGCACAGGCACTAAACCAACCACATGTCGACAAGATTGCATCCAACGCATGGCTTTCTTACAGTTCTCTATTTCCGGAAACAGAAGGGTTTATGATGGCCATCCAAGATCAAGTGATAAGTACAAAAAACTACAAAAAACATGTTATAAGGGATGGCACCGAAGATGACGCATGTAGAAGATGCAAATCTGCCGTTGAAAATATTCAACATATAATTTCCGGATGCCAAGTACTAGCACAAACGGAATATAAAGTTAGACATGATAATGTCGCGAAAATATTGCATGATCAGTTGTCAGTAAAATATAAATTAAAAGAAAAAACCACTCCCTACTACAAGTGTAACCCTCCAAAAATTTTAGAAAATAGTTCAGCTCGAATATACTGGGATCGAGGACTCTTAACCGATAGAACAGTATCTCACAATAGGCCAGATATAACAATCTTTGACAAAGATAATAATACTGCGTTCTTGATAGACGTTTCTATTCCAAATACAGGCAATACTCAAGCAGCATATGCTGAAAAAATTAGAAAATATGCTGAATTACTTCTTGAAGTAAAACAGCTATGGCAGGTTAAAGCAGTATACATCTTGCCCATAATAATATCTGCTACAGGAGTAGTACCACGCAATCTCCATGAAGCTCTGAAAAAGTTAGAGGTACCATCATCAATATACATTAAAATTCAGAAGGCAGTAGTTCTTGGTACATGCAACATGGTCAGAAAATTTCTCGGGGAATAAAAAGAAAAAACAAACAAAGCTTCTTTACCTTGGTTCGACCCGTAAAGATAGTACCTACCGTTTAAAATACGAGATAAACCAAAAATAATAATAATAATAATAATATAACTTTATTCAATAATAAATTACATATGTATATGAATCATATCTATATATACAATAAAAAATATGATTCTTCCTAAAAAAGAAGTACCATAAAAATATGATATGATATAATAAAAATAACAAATATTAAATAAAGTGGTGCGAAGCGATAAGTATTAAATACTTGTATCGCTTTATAAAACAATTTAGGTAATAATAATAATAACAATACCAATACAGCTCATATAATTATTGTTTTATAATAATAAAAAAAATGAATAAATGAACAGAGGAAGCCACACTGAGTACCGGACATCCAGAAAATGAGAAGCTAAGGATAAACTTGACAGCTTCTCAGGCACTGTATGTCAGGTAGGTAAGCAATAAGCTTGCCTGGTCATCTATGATTTTTTTCTTTTCATTTTACATGACAAAAAGAAAGGAAGAGCGAAAAAAAAAACAATTAAAAATGTTATAACCCAAAAAATATTTCCACACCTTTAGCTGAACAATACATTTTAAAAGCAAGTGATAGTTTTAGGGTAAGTATATGAATATTCAATTTTATTATAGAATTTTAGTTTGTTTCATCTTAGTTTATTTTAATTTTTTTTTTATTTTAATTGCTACCGATTATATCTATAATTTCATTTAGTTTTAAAGTTTTTATAATAAATTTTTGACTTTAGTTCTTGAGGCAGTGAATTATAAACTTTTAATCCGACGTATGAATAACTGCATTGCGAGAGGGTTGTTCTACATTTCGGTAAGATAATCTTATTGTTTAGACGAAATCTTGTGTTATATTGGCGGCACATAATATTTATTTCCTTTGTATTTACAAGTTGAATCAAAGCTTGTTTATAATACAATTTTCTTATAGTTAATAAGTTACTGTAAGTGAAAAGTGCTTCAGTGGGAAATCGTAGATTTAATTTAAATATTAGTTTAATCAGACGTTTTTGAATTACCACTAAAGGTTGTAAAGTAGTAGTGTAAGCTCCTCCTCATCCAATTATTTTGTAGTTTAATATAGATTGAACTAGGGCGTAGTAAAGTGAGATAAGATCACGCTCACTAAGTATTTTTGAGGTTAACTTAAACATATATAATAGTGATCTCATTCTTTTCACCAGATTATTAATATGTATATTCCATTTTAGATTTGAGTCTATGGTTACTCCTAAATATTTGGCACTACATGACACATGTAAAGACCAGGATGTACTACGGAATGGTAGATCTTTTAAATTCGCTAAGACATTTTTAAAATTATAAAATGGTAGATACACTGTCTTGTCTAAATTAATTGTTAAAAGATTTTCATCAAACCAGTGTGTTATTTTTTGTAAATCTCGTTTTAGGCTAGTTTCGACTTCCAACCAATCGTTTCCTTTAACAAAGAGAGCAGTATCATCAGCAAATGAGATTATGTTGCCATATGTTTTTAAGGTAAGTAAATCGTTTAAATATAATATAAATAATATGGGTCCTAATACTGTACCTTGAGGCACCCCATAGATAACTTCTTGTGGTGCACTTCTATTTCCATTAACTTCAACTATTTGTTGTCTGCTGGTTAAGTAACTTTTAAGGAGTAAATGGGCTTTACCTCTAAATCCCATATCATAAAGCTTTGATAACAATTTTTGATGGCTGACTGTGTCGAAAGCTTTTGCTAGATCTACAAATACACAGGCACATTTTTGATTATCGTTTAAACTATTGGAAATCCTTCTAGTCAATAATGCAATAGCATCGTTAGTAGAACATTTTTCTCTAAATCCAAATTGTGTATTACGTAATAAATTATTTTTATTGACAAATTTTGTTATTTTCCCTTTCAAAGCTTTTTCAAAAATTTTTGCTATATTTGATATTAAACTAATCGGTCTATAGTTTTCCACTCTATTTTTTTCGCCTTTCTTATGTATAGGTTTAACGACAGCTACCTTAAACTGAGTTGGACAGATACCCTGCTTGAACGCTAAATTAATTAAGTATGTTAATGGATGACTTATTTGATCTTTTATTTCTTTCAATAGTTTTACCGTTATTCCGTCTATTCCTGGTGATGTATTTGCTTTTAACGACAAATAATTCGGATGTTCGTGTTTTAACCATACTATTAGATATCGCTCACTACGATAACAGCGTAACTCCAGTACCGCCATATTTAATACGAAATATGCGTAACTCCGCATTTCTCGATAAAAATCTGGCTTGGTTGTGTGTTGCTGCTGTATTGTTGCCAGTAAGTAACAGTTTTTTAAGGATTTTATACATACAAGAAATTGGGTGGTAAGTATTACTTTATTACCATTGATTACTTTGTTAAGCAATATTTAGTTATTATATTTATTGGGTATTATTATTTTGCCACTTTTATCTATACGTGGAGATTCGCAGTATTCGAATTATATCTATTGGTTATTAAGTGGATTTACGATGTTTTCCTGAAACGAATAAATAGCTAAGAATAAACTATTATAATAACCGAATAAAATAATACATAAACACCGTTAATAATATATTATACAGATCATCTTTTTTAAGTTAAAGTTTCAAATAAACTTGTCTTGTTTTTAGATTCAACAATGAATCCCAATTCAAGAGGAATTAAATGTTTAGAAATGGTTTTTAGGCCTACTCTACCATATAAGCCAGTGAATTTGTCATCAAATGGGCCTTCCACGAGCAAATCTGCTAAAGTTTTAAGGACAGAACATTCTAATTTAAAAAGTGACGAGCTTGATTTAGATAATATTCCATACTGATTATTCAATCCGATGAAGATTTACTTCCAAATGGTGACCTAATACAATTGGATTGAATATCAACATTTCAATTCATTAATGCTTAAAGCAAATAACCATAAGGACGTTCAAAAATTAAAAGGAATCTTAGCTGAACATAATTTTCCAGAAGCTGGAGATTTGGAAATAGAAAAAAATCTGTCAGAGCCATCGCAGAAAGTTATAGAAGACGAAAATATTACCGAGGAAAATAACAATTATAAAGAAACATCAGAAACTGCATTTGTATCTGGAAAATGTTATATTCAGACTAAATATCAGTTTGCGGAAGACCAGTCGGCCACAGTGCTGGAGAACCATGTGTATAAAGAAAGGAAGGTTATTGAAGTAGACGACGAGAATGAAATCGAAAATGAAATAAAATACAGTGATGAGTCATCAGGAAGTGAGTATGTACCGGAAGATAGGGGAAATCAGAGTGAAGATCAATCTGAGGCAAAACCGAGGGTAGAACAGTCAGAGAACGAAGACCAGGATGTAAAGAAAAAAAGAAAGAGAGTTAGAAGATGCCAAGTTAATGAACTGAAATGGTGTGATCGAATGAATCAACAAAAGAGGGAAAGTGGGTACTTGGGTAGAAAAAGAATTGAGAATAATTGGCGATATGACATTGAAAAACCACCAAAGGAAATGAAAGTTAGTTATGATTGTAAATAAGGCAAAGTATCGAAAAAAACAAACTGCGTTATTATGACAGCAAGACCGTGAAACAATTTTAAAAAGATTTTGGAAGCTTACATGGAAGGAAAAGAAAATGTTCGTGAAAAGCACATTAGAAGTTAAACCAACAAAAAGAAAGAGAGGATTGGAAGAAAATTCCAGAAGACATTTAACAACAGAATTTTTTTTAGAAACAGAAACGAAGAGGATACGTGTTTGTAAGAAAATGTTTTTCAATACCTTAGCAGTGGAAGAATGGGTTATTAAAAATTGGACAAAGCCAGATCTTCCACAAAACTTAGATTTATTGAACATAAAGAATAGCCCCTACGAAATTTAAAAAGGATTTTTAAATAAGTTTTTTGACGATATTCCCAAGTTGGAGTCTCATTATTGTCGTGCAAGTTCGTCCAAATTGTATATGGAGCCAGTATGGGAATCAAAGTCTCAGTTGTACAAGTTTTACAAAAACAGTTTTTGCATTGACCATAAAATATCTTCTTTATCATACGCCACTTTTTCTAAAATGTTTGATACCAAAAATGTATCATTATAGAGCCCAAAAAAAGATCGCTGTGATGTATGTATAGGGTATGAAACTGGAAATATAGAATAAACTTAATTTGATTTACGTCAAACTTTAAAACGTGAAGCAAGGAATGAACTAGAAAAGTTATTAGAACACGCTATATTCTTTATGGACTTGCAATCTGTGCTTCTGTCACCCAAATCTAACGTTTCTTCAATGTATTACAGAATGAAATTGGCAGTGCATAACTTCACCCTCTTTGTTAATAAAGAAAACAAAGGATTTTGCTTTTTGTGGAATGAATAGGAAGGTGGACTGACAGCCAACGAGTTTTCAACACTTATTAATTATTTTGTCCTCAACTTATTAAAAACTTCTTCCAAACCGCCCAAACCAATAATATTGTATAGCGATGGCTGAAATTACCAAAATCGTAATTGCGTTTTGGCAAATAATTTTTTCAATCTAGCCTACGAAAAAAATATTGAAATAATTAAAAATTTCTTATTGAAAGGTCACACACAAATGGAAGTGGATTCAGTTCATTCCACCATTGAAAGTTGAAAGTAGTGATGCCGCGAGACGAGAGATTCTCGTCTCTCGTCTCGTCTTGTCTCGTCTCGAACGAGACGAGAGATACATTTTCTCTTGAAAACAAATTCGAGACGAGACGAGAGAGTGTCATCTCTCAAACGAGAATTTCTCGTTTCTCTCGAGCTCTCTCGGGCTCTCTCGAACAATTTTTTCTTTGCTTATTTGAAGTTTTTAATTGCATATCGTAACTTAAAATTTTAACATATTAGATTTCGACATAGTCAAAAAGTTAACTATAATACACCTATTCTATATGTATTAAACGGTAACAAATGATACTTGTGTTATTGGGATTTTATAAATTTTCCCCTGCTCTATTTTAACTTCTAAATAAAAAAAAATAATGACAAAATAAAAACGAGGTAAAACTCAAGATATAATATATTTTTGTTATAACGAGATGCACTTTACTTGAGACACGTAAGATAGAGGGAGTTACTAGCTTTAAATTATCTAATGGAAATTAGGGTCATGTGATATCTGATTTAAAAGATATTTTCTATATTTTTACGTTCAAGTAAACAGATTTAGGTTTTTATGTTTTTACAGAAATTATATGAAATAAATTTATAAAGTAGGTTAAATTCTTTTTTTTTATTTACCACTTCAACCTCAAAGAATCATTACCGGAGGGAGGTATAATACCTTATAAATGCTGTTTTTTACAATAGTATGCAATGGATAATTAAAATTTTGGCTAGTACAGAGTAAATGTCAGTATCTTTTATAAATTTAAGTAACTTTTTACTGTTAGAGGGATTTAACACTGCACAAATGGCAATTTTTTGTAGCTGGTACTTTGTTCTTATACAGACATGTTTTGGGCCTTTACTAATAAGTTATTAACAAATATTGTTTATTACTAAGGAAACGCTTCTTGTATTTACTAAAATAAATAAATTATGAATATCAAAGGTGATTTAAAAACCACTTGACGTATTAAATTTTTCATAACTTCTTGGCAAAAAAGAGCTTATTAAAAAATTATTTTCTAACATTATCTAATATTTCTAGGATTATTGCAGCACACAAGGATTATCAAGAATGTAATTTTTGTATAAAAAAAAATTTAAAACTGTTTACTTGGACGTAAATATAATCAAAATATCTTTCAAATAAGGTATTACATGACTTGACTTTCCATTAGAAAATTTAAAGATAGTACCGACCTCTATTTTACGTCTTAAGTAAAGTACATCTCATTATAACAAAAATATAATGTTTCTCTAATTTCACATAGTTTTTGTTTTATGTCTCTATCTTCTTGCATTTTGAAAACATACTGCAAAATGCTTTCATTTGACATCACAAGATTTAATTAGAAAAATTCTAACTTCCAAGTTAACCTCTTCCCCCCCCTGCCCAACTGACTTACAAGACAAAGTATTTTCATTTTTAGTTAACGCCTAATCTGGGCCACTTATTACTTCAAATTTCAATGTAAAACGACTGTAACAGACGGACAGACAAAGAGACATAAGTGTCTCTTATTGCCAAATTTGGGTAGTAATACGCAAATTACTTTAAAAATTCTTTGTTTTTGTCTTACAAATTTTACCGTTTTTTCATGTTTCATATTTTTCAAATTTAAATTTGATACTGTTTTATCTCGAGAGAAACGAGACGAGATGAGACAAGACGAGAGAAAAGGCTCTCTCGAGCGAGAGAAGTGCCTTCTCGTCGAGACGAGAGAACAGTTTTCTCTCGCCCTACGAGACGAGACGAGAGAGGCCACTCTCTCGTCTCGTCTTGTCTCGCGGCATCACTAATTGAAAGGAAAATAAAAAAGAAAAATATCAATGTACCGGCAGATTACATTATTATTTGTGAGACTGCTTGTAAAACACCTTACAATGGCGTTCCGCAAGGGACCGTACTGGGGCCAATTTTATTTAGCATATACCTTAATAACTTATTTTCTATAAATTCTAATGGCAACATTATCAGTTTTGCTGACGATACTGCAATTGTTTATGAAAGCACTGACTGGGTATCTTTGAAATTATTAGTTGAAAGTGACTTGCCTCATATATTTCACTGGTTTCAGCAACACTTACTTACGGTAAATTTCAGTAAGACATTCTTTGTTCCCTTTTCATCATACGCTAATGCTTTACCAAACTATAACAAAATCGAAATTAAAGTCAACAATATTGGAATAGAAATTAAAGCAGTCTCTAATATCAAATACTTGGGAATATATATAGACAATCATTTGAAATGGGATATTCATATCAACTTTGTTACTAAAAAGTTAAGAATGTTACTGCATACATTCAAATTCTTGTCAGAAATATTAAAATGGAATGAGCTAAGAATATTATATTATGCTCTTGCTGAAACCCATATAACTTACTCAATTATTGCTTGGGGCGGTGCACTTGATTGTCACATAAATAAATTAAATATTACGCAAAAATGGCTTATAAAGATTTTAATGAAAAAACCATATGCCTACTCGATAGAGCAGCTCTTCGAAGAGAGTCAGTTCTTTGATGTTAGACAACTTTTCTGTCAAAATCTTCTTATGCGACAGCATTATAATAAAAATTAGCTGAAAAAGAAAGAATACCATTACAATACTCGTTCTAGGCCCCATACTTTTATCTTACCTAAAGTCAATAAATCAAATACCCAGAAAAGTTTTTGGTACATGGGTCCAAAATTATATAACAGACTACCTACAGAAATAAAAATTATTAATTCGAAAAGACTGTACAAGAAAAAGATAAAAAAATGGATACTACAACACTCTCGACTAACGATACATGAAATGATTGAAAATTACTTTATTTAAAAAAAATAAATAAATATAAAAAAAAATTATATACTCATCTTAAGATCCTCAAAAAAAAAAAAATAACAAAACACACTTGAACTAAAATTAAAATTTTGTCAGTTGTATATTGACGGACTACAGACAGGTTTTCCTTGTGGAATGTTAGTATCACAGCTGATAAATAAATATTATAACAAAAAATTCATATTATGCTCTAAAAGAACTACTCTAATATTAAGCTGACCAACCTCTTGTTTAACGCTTTTCTGGATTTGTAGCAAACTTTTGATAATTTCAACCGAATATTTTCTACGCCTCTCCTTCTTCTTCTCTTCTTCGTGCTTCATGTGCCTTTCGTTTGCCTCTTCTTCTGCTTTCCTGCGCCTTTCTCTTTTCTTCTCTTCTTTCTTCCTACGCCTTTTCTTTTCCTCCTCTTCTTCCTTCCTACGCCTTTTTTTTTCTCGCCTTTCCTTTTCCTCTTCTCGCCTTTTCCTTTCCTATTCTCGCCTTTTTCTCTTTTCTTCCATCTACAAAACCATGCTGGTGGGACTGAATTATTTATATCTGTTTTGTACGCAGTGGTTATAGTATTTACCATGTATAGAAAGCTTGGGTTACTTTTATTTTATATATACCACCGCTGTCACCAATGTTACGCAGGTTTCTGGTATCTTAATTTATTTCAACTCAACTTTTACAATAACTATGCAACTGATAACAATAACGTATAATGTTTATCATAAAATTGATCACTGACATCAGGATCATTGACTTATATAGCTTGCTTTCACCTGCGTAACACTATTGATCCTCTTAAAACTCACGAGGTAGAAACTCAATCTGATATAGAAGGTAATTTAGTTTTACAGAAGGATCTGTTACATTCCCAGCAGGACAATGCTACACGTTATTTTTTCCTTCCCGTCCGACAGTAGTTAAAGAGAGATTCCCAAACAGTTGGATTAGCAGAAGCCCCCAAGATCACCTGATTTTCACAAATTCCT